AACCTTTTGCACAGCAAAGGAAACCATAACCAAGACAAAAAGACAACCCTCAGAATGGGAGAAAATATTTGCAAACGAAGCAACTGACAAAGGATTAATCTCCAAAACACACAAGTAGCTCATGAAGCTCAACATCAAAAAAAAAAAAAAAAAACCCAATCCAAAAATGGGCAGAAGACCCAATAGACATTTCTCCAAAGAAGACATACAGATTGCCAACAAACACATGAAAGGATGCTCAACATCACTAATCATTAGAGAAATGCAAATCAAAACTACAATGAGGTATCACCTCATACCGGTCAGAATGGCCATCATCAAAAAATCTACAAACAATTAATGCTGGAGAGGGTGTGGAGAAAAGGGAACCCTCTTGCACTGTTGGTGGGAATGTAAATTGATACAGCCACTATGAAGAACAGTATGAAGGTTCCTTAAAAAACTAAAAATAGAACTACCATATGACCCAGCAATCCCACAACTGGGTGTATACTCTGAGAAAACCATAATTCAAAATGAGTCATGTACCACAATGTTCACTGCAGCTCTATTTACAATAGCCAGGACATGGAAGCAACCTAAGTTCCATTGACAGATGAATGGATAAAGAAGATGTGGCACATATATACAATGGAGTATTATGCAGCCATAAAAAAGAACGAAATTGAGTTATTTGTAGTGAGATGGATGGACCTAGAGTCTGTCATTACAGAGTGAAGTAAGTCAGAAAGAGAAAAACAAATAACGTATGCTAACACATATATATGGAATCTAAAAAAAAAAAGGTTCTGAAAAACCTAGGGGCAGGACAGGAATAAAGATGCAGACATAAAGAATGGACTTTAGGACACGGGGAGACTGGTAAGCTGCGACAAAGTGAGAGAGTGGCATGGACATACATACACTACCAAATGTAAAATAGCTAGCTAGTGGGAAGCAGATGCATAGCACTGGGAAATCACCTCGGTGCTCTGTGACCACCTAGAGGGGTGGGATAGGGAGGATGGGAGGGCGACACAAGAGGGAGGGGATAAGGGGATATTTGTATACGTATAGCTGATTCACTTTGTTATACAGCAGCAACTAACACAACAATGTAAAGCAATTTTACACCAATAAAGATGTTAAAAAAAAAATCTAGGCCATGAGTAGTGAGGTGGGTGCAGGGAGCACTGGGGTATCTGGAATCACTCTGAATTTCATTCTGAGCAAGTAACCGGACAAAGACCAGAAAGATAAAGTTCAGAGGAATAACAGGTAGGCCACATATATTGCACCTAAAAAAGAGAACAATTCAGCAACAATTCAATAACCTTTCAGCCCTAGTCTCTGCTTCTATCTAAAATATTTTTTCATGTACCTTTGCACTTGAACTAAGTTTCATTTTACTGATTCCCAGCTTCAGGGTGACTTGCCCATTTTCTCTTACCCTGAGCTCACAGTGTTTAACTCCCCATGACTAGAACAGTGCCACTGCCATTAGGTGGCCTCTGCCTACACTTCTGGCCAGCCACCTGCAGTGGACTGTGTCCACTTAGGCTGTACTGCTCCAGGGTTGAAGCCAGGCTTTCTTAGGAATATGCATCCAACTGAAGTATGAAGTGCAAGAAATGGTCCATGCATTAGCAACAGGCAGATAAATATTTCTCCAAGAGAATGAAGACTTAATGGCTGAATTAGTATCTGCTTAAAATTACCTACAAGGATTAGACTATTCTGGAAGAACAGCATCTCATTTCTTAATGTCTACTCTATTAATGCTACTAATAATGTTAAAGAAACCTTGGAAATAGTCACTCTTCCAACTAAACAGGGAGAGTAACATTATGCTGAGAAGGAAGAATTGATATATTTACCCAGTTTTTGAGTCAGCTTTTTATAGATGGAAAAAAAGCTAGGAAGTATTTGATAGGCCCAAGAAATCCCTGATTCTTCTTTATCAAGCTGCACAAGAGTACATGCTATTGTTTCAAGAAACTGTCTTACAGTGACACTAAATGAGGATTCCAGTAAGGAATCTATAATAGGCTGTCTCCAAACTTTTTTTTTTGGCGGGGGGGTCGGGTGGGGGTGGGGAGACATCAACTAGTAACAAATCTTTTATAAGGATTTAACATGTTCAAATGCCTACAAAAAGGCAGCACAAGGCACACTGAGCGAATTTGCACACAACTGAAAGCAGCTCTGACAGGTGGTGAGAACAATATTGCTACAGAACAGAAGGAAAGCTACCTTTACTTCCCTGAGGTTTAAGCTTTTTTTTTTTTTTTTTTCTTTCGTTATGCGGGCCTCTCACTGTCGCGGCCTCTCCCTTTTGCGGAGCACAGGCTCCGGACTCGCAGGCCCAGCGGCCAC